AATGTATTACCTGCATAGATTGTTGGACAGCTTGCCCTGATCCCCTTGGTACAGCAGGTTTGGGGTCGATCTACACCAGACATAAACATAGTTAATTAACAAACATTTACTGCAATAGCCGAGTTTAGATATTTTGGTTCAGTGACCATGCACAAAAGAATTGCAGACGAGGCTCCGGGGAAATAAAGAATAAAACGATATTATACACTCTTTGATTGGTCATTTTGAAGCGTGCACTTCAAAATAACTCTTTGCAATATTAAAAAAAAATAAAATTATCAATGGATAATCATGATTTATTCTTTATTTCCCCRGAGCCTCGTCTGCAATTCTTTTGTGCATGGTCACTGAACCAAAATATCTAAACTCGGCTATTGCCCACATTGGAGGATTTGATTGGATGACCATCAAGAGAAACAACAGATACTTCTCTTCTTCAATTCTTTTGAGCATGATCATTTAGCAGAGGGGCCAGTTCACACTAGGACATAAGCAGATACCGAAGCAAAAGCTTATTCACACTTGACAGAAACATGTTTTTCTGCTTATGATGTCCCGGTTCACACTCATAATCTTTTGACATAAGCAGAAACAGAAGCAGAAGAAAATGAAAAAGTTTTCATTTTCATCTGCTTCTGTCTCTGCTTTTGTTTTTCCTGGTTCACACATACAAAATACACTTCTTCTGCTTCTGCTTATGTCACAGTGTGAGCCAGCCCCAATGGATAACAACCGTCAATCAAGAAATTATCAAAAAATATAAGTTTGATTTTTCATTCAGTATAAACTCCTAAGTAAATCAAATGCAGGAAAAACAAAACAAAACAAATAAATAATTAGCTGAAACATGATATAATCTTARAAGATTTCTACTTTTGATTTCTGACCTTTTTATTGTCCAGAATGTGAACTTTCTCAGCACAGACTTTCTGTACCGTCTCTGGATCACGGAATGTTACAAATCCAAAACCCCTGAGATGGMACAAYAATAAATAKAYATAYCAGAATACRTGACCATATCAATACATTGAACTTGCAAGCACGATCTGGAATTTTGAATCAAAATCCTGCCAAGGATTGATACATGTAAAACACTTTTTGCAAATGATTTTGTTGTCTTTATGTCTGTAAGTCCTTTAGAAAGGAACAACRTTAATGGGATCGACTGTATATCATTCAATAATACCATTGCATATACAGTAGGATTGTGGTGAGTATTCTAAMATTTTACCTGGAGGTTTTAGTATGCTGGTCTGTCATAAGGACACAATCAGTAACTTGACCATATTTCTCAAAATAACCCTTGAGCCCATCTGTTGAATAAAATTAATRGTTTGAGACTTAAAAATACACAATGGTCAATAATAGTGGTATAAATATTTTTATCAATCAAAACCATTTTTGCAATAACTACACGATTCATGAATTAAAGCTCAATATCTAAATCAAAGGCAAGTTTTGCTGTGCAGCACAAATGGGCCGAGTTGTTCAAAGCCTGATTTATCTTTAATCCAGGGTTAACTTCATAGGTTTTCTAAAAGTTGATCCAGGATTAGCACTAATCGGGCTTTGAACAACCTGGYCAAGGTTGTGTTGCATGCCGTGCTACAGCTTTTTATACAACTTTTCAGTAAAATCAGACGTTTTGATTGGTTGGCTTTCGTGTGTTATCAAAGTATAGATACACGGATTACGTCAAAACTAATTGTTTGTTATATAAAACAGATAAATCTCATTTTTCCGTGGGTGTGTACTCTAATAGATACACAGATGACGTCAAAATGTAGCGAGAACAACAGTCACGCACTCGACTGCGTCTTGTGCATACTTTTTTGTTCTCACTACATTTTGACGTCATCTGTGTATCTATTAGAGTACACACGCACGGAAAAATGAGATCTATCTGTTAAGTAAAAAGTCAAATTGAACTTGAAGTGATTCATACATTGAGATGTTCATGGGACAACTTTAAACTATTTGGCTCAGCACAATGATAACATGACATATGGACAAGGCCTCAGTACCTGATTTTAAGGCAGGATGCCTTCCCTTTCATACATTTTCAAAACATTTAATYGTCATAATTGGTCAAGCAAGCAAGATAAAGTTCTCAGCTGGTATTGTTCTTCAATATTTGGGAATGTCTTAGCCATAATAGTTAAAGTACAGTGAAACTTGGGATCTGATAAAATCAATTGAATGAATATGATCCAGTCGCAGRCACGCTTATCAATGCACGTTTGTCTTGTATTTGGAAGGCACACCAAAGCTCAATACACCACAAATTTGCTTTGTATACCAAGATTTCGATTTTAAAGGATTTCTTTCTAAATAGAAAAAAGCCCAAACTTGTGACTCTACCATAGCAATGAAACTCTATCATATTATCTTACAAATCACAAGTTATCKCCATTCCTCAAGCGTGCAGAGGTCGACAAGAGACAAGATCGGGTCCCATACAGTGTACTTAGCTTATATTCAACACGGCCAAAAAGTCTTCGTGTATTTTTGATAACAAGCAATTCTAGTTTCAAAATCCATTTAACACTGCTACTTACCGTTATCCGTTTGAAGAGCCAGCCCACCAACAAATATTTTTCTGAGAATGACAAATACAGCGAGAGATTATCTTAAACCTCGTGGTCAAAAAATGCTCAACATGGCCAGGCAAAAGGACAAAAAACTACTCKCAAAACTCCAAGATTGTCAAAAAAAACTTATTATACTTACCCAATATCATCTCCTTTAACGTTTCCTTTCATAATTGGCATCTTSGTCTATATTTTGCAGTAAAAAGTAAGAAAAAAAGAAGAGAAGCGAACAAAKTTTTCAATATGGAGGWTTGCAASCTTTGAGTGTGTGAAGTTCCCGGATGAACAGCGCGCTATGCACGATGGGAATGACTTGCGATACTCACGGGGGACCACTAGGGAATATTGCTTTTCTCAGTCTCTCGATGCGAAGCTTGAAAAGTTAATAATGAAGAAAACATGGCTATTCTTATAGGTAATGTGAAAGTATCAGTTTTATTTGAAATTATACAATACTAGTAAGCTCACTTAGAGTCTCATCCATGCGATTAATTTATATTTTTTTGTAATATTTTCCTAGGTCCATTGACTGTTGCCGCAATAACTGGCATTTCTGCAGGSATTCTTCTCTCCCTAGCATTAATCATTGTATGTAGTTTTTGCGTACGATTAAAAATCCATAAAAAATGCACGAAATGGCTRATAAAMGTACTTCCAATGTCTACCAAATACGAAGATTTTGATGACGTCCCAGACATAACAGCCGGAGACACACCTGAAGATTTRCATGAAAGTCTTCAACAAATAGAAAGCGTTYTGGAAAGCTCAACAGCTTCTACAGAAAGCCGGGATAAAGACGGAGATTTCAGTGAAAATCCATGCATGTTACAATTCTCTTTATTCTACGACTACCACGAGAACCGCTTGCACATAAACATTATTTGCGCCCTGAATGTACCGACGCGCTGGCATGTAAGAAACTCAAAGACTCAAGTCCGCTTCCAGCTCCTCCCGGACATYGATAATATATTCAGTACAGAAATACAAACGGGAGGAAAACAACCGATATTTAACGAATCGTTCGAGTTTGTTGGCTATTCGACGCAGGAATTGGTGGATGTTACTATGCGCCTTGGGGTTTATACGTATGACCGATTCAGCCGAGGCAAGTTGTTGGGATACGTTTCTGTTCCCTTTGAGTCCATTGATTGGGACCCAGATGAAGTGAGCATACTATGGCGTAGTGTGGGTATACCGGTGAGTTTGACAAATAGGAATTTTATTGAAGTTTTTGAAGGTTTGGTATTAGTTAATATAAAATACATTAAAAGGCATTGTTTTKAAGATGAAACCATAGAACTTAATACTTTGTCATTGACCTTACGTGTCTACATCAGTTAAGGGGCAGGCATTCCTTTCATCAAGCGCGCAACTGCGAAGTGTTATTGGTCAACCGATAATCTACAATCGCTCATTCATATTTTGTTGGTATAAAAAAGCAAAATAACAAAAGCAACAACCAACAAACCGGACAATTGACATATGGATTTGTCAGTATTCACCGAAATGCAAAAAACGCAAAATTGATAAAGGAAGTAGAGCGTCTATGAGCACTTATCGATCATTATAATTTTTTAGCACTCATGATCGACACGAATTAAATATAATATGTCAGTGACAAATGTTTGTATGAATTTGGTACTACATATAAGGCTYGCGCTCGCGTCTTCCTTCGATTTCATCGAGTGCCATGGAATGCGGAAACAAGTGCCATGACATCGCAATCAATTACTTTTTGACTAAAATTTTCAAAACGAACATCTTTAATACRTTCACTGCAAAGTTCTGAATATTAATATATAACRAGGGCAAGTTRTGAATAAGAGGGAAAAAGTTTTTTGTTCAATTGAACTCGAGAAACTGCCACACCTCGCCRGCACKAGAATTTACGAACGCATAAAAGGTTTTGCCACAGTTCGTCTCTTTAGATMTGATCGGCGTCTCATTATATCTGTGAGAGGTTACTATATGAATACCCCTAGGATGCCAGTAATCATGCAGGCCCGTTCGTACGARCCCTCCTCCCACAAGCTTTTAAAAGGTCCGGTTGTCTTTTTCTATTGTTCTATTTTAAAATTCTTTTGTTTTAAACTGTTTTTGAGATAGTAAGTTGTAATAATTTGCTCATACTAGCAGACAATTCTTACACACTATACTGTGCATTGAACAAATTTAGTTAAACATTAAATTTAGGTCCGCATTATGAAAAAACGAGCCCCCCCCCCCATTTTTAAGGCAGCCTACGGCCCTGGTAATACATGTAAGTTATGGTTAGGGAAAGCCTTAGGGTTCCATGGGTTCTTATGAAGAAATAACCAACCCAGTCGAGGTGTCCGCAATTGCGTACCGCGAGACAAATTTTTGATTGGATGTCGCATAGTGCTACGTMGCGAAAATGTCTAATTACATATTTGATCACAACCCACCCCATAGTGTTACTCCGTAATAGGACGATATAGTAGCCACAAAAATCAAAAGTATAACGTCACTCGTTTTGCGTGCAGGTGATCAGAGAAAGAACGACAAGTTTTCTCAAGGGTCGTATGCTACATCTATCTCTACGTTATCAAGCTCATGCCAACAGAATCAGTGTCATTATATTAAAAGGGACGAACCTAGGAAGGCCCAGTAAGATCAAAATTACAGGTGAGTTGTAAATTAGATAAGATTGTTAACGTTTGATTATTTCAATAATATTATTAACACCATAGCTCGCCCCATGATGCAGAATCCGGAATCCGACAAAAMTTTTGCGCTGGAACACGGAACTGGAATCCGGACACTTCAGCAAAGCATGATGGTAGTTGTAGTCCTCGCACTTTTCATAGACCCTAAAATATCTCCGTTTTTTCATTTTCCTTTTAAAAACGGCACAAATACTTCAGGCTATTTCGGTTAGAAAAAGAAAAAACTGGGTAGGAGGACTGTTTAAGCGGAAATAAAAAAGTGCGAGGACTACAACTACCATGATCCTTTGCTGCACAAAATGGCGTCGCTGCACATCGCCTATTAGTGACATAAGATGTTTTGCATTCTACTCATTCTGAATCCAATTTGGCGGAATATATAAAACCCTTGAAAAATYTTTCATGGAATCCGGAATCCAGGAACAAGCCGGATTCCGTGTTATGGGGCGATACAACGTTGTTTCACAGTCTTATTGTTGTCTCTGTAGCGCCGTACATATGTGTGATGCTATCCAWGGATGGTAAAATCCTCGACACACGACAAACAAAACGAAAGAGGTCAACGAATCCTGCATGGAACAAGGCATTTCTCTTCGACGTCGATTCGACTCGCATACAACAATATACAATAACGGTCAGAGTGATGAACTACGACTTGTTGCTTAGTGACGAGTGGATTGGAGAAGTGGTGATCAGTCCTTACTCGGATGGAAGTGGACGTGAGCACTGGGAAGAGATGATGAAGCGCAAAAATATTAACCGTGAAACGGCAATGTGTCATCAGTTGACGTAATGGTTACAGTATGCAAAGAGTCGCTCTATATTTCATCCTGTAGTGAAAATGAATATAGTTCCTATCTGTTGGTAAAGAAAACAAAACAACAATAGATTCAGAGCGTGTTACCAACTATTCGTCTCACTAATTTTTCACGGACAAATAAAAACGACTATTAGGTCATGAACAGGCGACAAAACCTGTGTAACACCACTGCCATTTATGTATGGTGAATATATTTGGACATATAGTTTAAAGAGAACTAGGGAAGGGTTTTCATTTTACTACATGTAAATATTTCTGCAAAATGCAAAACTACAAAATGATGCAGTCGATGGCCTTGCAGTCGATGGGGACTTGCAGTCGATGTAAAATGATAAACCTTCTCGTAGTTCKATTTCCATTGATATGGTGTTTTTACTATATTTTCCGAAACTATATAGAGCGGATTTCGTATGAGTGGGAAACGGACGGTACTGTATACGGTGACCGTAATCGTACTGTAACCAAATTCTAGTGCCCATTGGTTCACAAAAATTGTGCAGGCCAGGTCCGGTAACTGTGCGGTAACGGTGTCCCACTCATACGAAATCCGCTCTATCCCAAAGTAAACTGACTCCTCCATATAGAATTTAGAAAAAATACAAGCACTGAATGAAAACTATTAGTTGGATACCGCGGTTTAATAAATAAATAAAAACTTTTTTCACACAATTCATGAAATATATAATTATTAAAAATCTGCTTGTGACTTGGAGCGGACGTAAAAATCCAAAGTACGCTTTAGCTCGTCCTATGACGTCATATATTGTCGTAACTTGTCGGCAATCCTTCGGTAGTCGTCCTAAAACTGCTTTTAGTCCACGAACAACTAGCCAACTAGAAATCTCCTAACTCTGATAGAACCTCGAAAGAATGGTTCTAATTTTAACCTGCCAAATTAGGCCGATCTTCGATGAACGTCTTCGACGAAATGCTGTCGTAAACTTGCCGTCATATTTTACTCATCGGACGTTTTACGTAGTGTTATCTTGAAGTTTTCCTAATTTTGTCATTAGACGTCCGTTAAACTATCGGATGCTTCACGTCATGCTATCGTAAACTTGTCGCATTTTTATCGTAAGAAATCCGTAAGTTCACGTCATGCTATCGTAAACTTGTCGCATTTTTTTCGTGAGTGATTCTCACGTCATGCTAACGTAAAACTTGTCGCATTCTTATCGTAAGAAATCCGTTAGCTTCACGCCATGCTATCGTAAACTTGTCGCATTTTTATCGTAAGATATTCGTTAGTTCACGTCATAGTATCGTAAACTTGCCGTGAGATTTTATCGTAAGAACTCCGTTAGTTTCACGACATGATATCGTAAACTTGTCGCATATTTATCGTAAGAAATCCGTTAGACCATCGGAGGTTCACGTCATATCGCTATATTCCGACACTAATGAAAAACGCACTGCGCATGCCCACAGCTTTCCCGCCAGTGTGCGCTCGCGTCTTGAAATCTGTAAACAGAGCGCCTGGCGATTTACAGCGACAACACAGAAACACTACGAAAAACCTCATTTTCTCAAAATAGAAATGACAAGATAAAAATAGAAACTACATACTAAAAGAACCTATCATGAAYAATGATTGATGGAAATATGAATCTTATATATCGGTGAACGAGCTTATAAATTGTAAAACACTTTCACTGAAATCACAAAAACCGTTTTACAAAGACAATTAGGCAGATTTCAGCGTGAAAACTGTGGACATGCGCAGTGCGTTTATCACCAGTGTCTTATATTCCTGGTAGATCAGAATGGGAAGAAGTGTCACTAAGAGTGCTTTTGGTGTCTCGGTGAATCAGAAGTGGGTGATCGGTCAGGCGAACTGTGAAATAGAACAAGAAACATGGTATAATGCCTGCCGTACGTAAAAGACACCTGTCAATCAAGATCANATATGGTGTTTTTACGATATTTTCCGAAACTATATCCCAAAGTAAAACCGACTCCTCCAGATAGAGTTTAGAAAAAATACAAGCACTGAATGAAAACTATTAGTTGGATACCGCGGTTTAATAAATAAATAAAAACTTTTTTTCACACAATTCATGAAATATATAATTACTAAAAATCTGCTTGTGACTTGGAGCGGACGTAACAATCCAAAGTACGCTTTAGCTCGTCCTATGACGTCATATATTGTCGTATCTTGTCGGCAATCCTTCGGTAGTCGTCCTAAAACTGCTTTTAGTCCACGTGAACAACTACACGTAGCCAACTAGAAATCTCCTAACTCTGATAGAACCTCGAAATAATGGTTCTAATTTTAACCTGCCAAATTAGGCCGATCTTCGATGGACGTCTTCGACGAAATGTTGTCGTAAACTTGCCGTCATATTTTACTCATCGGACGTTTTACGTAGTGTTATCTTGAAGTTTTTCCTAATTTTGTCATTAGACGTCCGTTAAACTATCGGAAGCTTCATGTCATGCTATCGTAAACTTGTCGCATTTTTATCGTAAGAAATCCGTTAGCTTCACGTCATGCTATCGTAAACTTGTCGCATTTTTTTCGTAAGTTATTTTCACGTCATGCTAACGTAAACTTGTCGCATTCTTATCGTAAGAAATCCGTTAGCTTCACGCCATGCTATCGTAAGCTTGTCGCATATTTATCGTAAGAAATCCGTTAGACCATCGGAGTTTCACGTCATATCGCTATATTACGACACTAGTGAAAACCCACTGCGCATGCCCACAGCTTTCCCGCCAGTGTACGCTCGCGTCTTGAAATCTGTAAACAGAGCGCCTGGCGATTTACAGCGACAACACAGAAACACTACGAAAAACCTCATTTTCTCAAAATAGAAATGACAAGATAAAAATAGAAACTACATACTAAAAGAACCTATCATGAACAATGATTGATGGAAATATGAATCTTATATATCGGTGAACGAGCTTATAAATTGTAAAACACTTTCACTGAAATCACAAAAACCGTTTTACAAAGACAATTAGGCAGATTTCAGCGTGAAAACTGTGGACATGCGCAGTGCGTTTTTCACTAGTGTCTTATATTCCTGGTAGATCAGAATGGGAAGAAGTGTCACTAAGAGTGCTTTTGGTGTCTCGGTGAATCAGAAGTGGGTGATCGGTCAGGCGAACTGTGAAATGGAACAAGAAACATGGTATAATGCCTGCCGTAAGTAAAAGACAGCTGTCAATCAAGATCACTTACCTGTTGGACTCTTCTCCGTCAACCCCATCAATTGAAATAATCGGCACGATGACACCCACACTTTTACTTCTAAAACCAAATGAAAACATGAAATTTATCAATGTTTTCGTTAGGTAATGGTCTGAGTAAGAAGTAGGCAAGCAAACGGTTGTGTATTGTATAATCCATCCATCTCATTGTTTAAAACATTAAACATAATTTCACAAGTTAGCGCATTTTTTAATATTTCATTTCATATCTGATTCCGACTTCATGATTTCAAGCTTTCCTTAGCTTCAATATTAATAGCAATTCTAGGTGGGGAACTTAGCAGGGAAAACAGAGTTTATCCACATTTTATTTCAAAAATGTGTTACCCATAGGTAAGTGTGAAAACCAAGAGATTCGTATGTGGAGAAGTTGCAATTGCGCACAAGAATACAGTTCCCTAGTTCTAACGCGYATTGTTACTAAAATATTATTGTCATTATGATAGCCAAAACACTATTAACCGCATTTACCGTAGACTAGACCTCTGATAAAACGGCCAACCTTTATATTCATCGTCTACCTGCAACTTCTTCAAGGGCTACCGTTTAATATAGTTTAAATTGACGATCTAGTTTGTTTTTGTTACCGAAGAACGAAAGAAAGAATCACCATTATCATCCCTAAATCAAATTGGAAGGTAGCAGACATAGATATAACGGCAAGCCCTTGTACTAGATCTAGCATTCTGGGCCCCAAAAGACAACAATTTTAAAAGGGTTTTTTTTTACCTTTTCCTGCCTCTGGTCTCTTTTCGCCGTGGACTAGATTGGAATAAATCTGTTTGCGTTGCCTTTCTGCAAGAAGAGACAAAACGCATCAACAACTTCACATTCGTCACACAAAACTGAAAATTAAACAATTTGCCTTCCCAAGTTCCTCTACGGTATTACCTTTCACGTGATCTTTTTCAACCCGACAACGTTTTGCCTTCCCATGCTCCCCTTCGGCATTTGCTTTCACGTGATCTTTTTCAACCCGACAACGTTTTACCTTCCCATGCTACCCTTCGGCATTTGCTTTCACGTGATCTTTTTCAACCCGACAACGTTTTGTCAATTGGAGTACATGCATTATTACTGATGATGACCGCCAACACAGCTCAATAGACTTCTGAACCCTTTACGTCACTACTTGATTTTCAATGCATTGTGGGATCAGTTTCTAGAGAAAACAAAAGAAATCCGCCATGTTTTGTCCCAAACATATCCTACAATGCATTGCGTATACGGTACATGACGTAAAAGCTTCAGAGGTCTATTTTCATGACGACAATTATTATTAGTATCAACTTACTCTTCAGTTAATGTATTCTCACACAATTCGTTGACTTGTTTGCGCAGTTCATCACGTTCAAACTCTAAATTCTTACTGAAAAAAAATAGCGAATGAAAAGTGAAATAAAATGAACGATGAAAGCTCATGTCTTAAAACATTTGCCTTTATCACTGTGGGACTTTGGTTTTTTACTAGGCCAGGGCACGAGGTATAAAATGCATCGCGTATAGTTTTATTTTATTTTTGATTTTTTCAAGTCAGAATAAACCGATACTTCGTAGCTGAGTGAAGTCGCGACGTGGCTGTCTGATTCTGAGTTGCATAGCCTAAATTTTCCAATGAATTTGATAAGGGATTCTGTCTCTTCCGGGTTATATGCAAAGAAAACAACACTTTTCACGCAGGAGTATTCCTAGATGAAGATTGAAGCGATCATAATTTTATAGAGAGGAATAACCATCTTGTTGAGATCGCTTCCACGGCGCCAACTATAGCCAACACTTTGCAAATATGCTGTCTGATTTTCATAGTGTGGTATACTTGACCTTTAAATTACTACAACTAGAATAAGTCTATCCATATTTTCACTTTGTTTCACACGAAAGACTATCAGAGTGAACGATTTGAGTCGCGTCTGCATTGCCGTGCGTGATATACCGTGTCTACGCTTTTATAAAAGATTTAATGTCAAAAATTATTGTAAATATAGTTCATAAAGTTGCATGGAAAGTAAGTAGCAGGGAGTTACTTTCACAAGTTTTACTCTTAATATAATATGTGATTAACAATCACTTCTTTACATCTAAACCAGACACTCTTAGCCCCTCTTAGAGCGTTAACTCGAGCTAGATATTTTTGAAAATTGAGAAAGTTAGTATCTTACATGGGTGGCGTATTACTGCAGGCGAACAAGTGAAAGGTTTAAAATGAGCTCAATTTGAAAACGTTCTAAATAATCCAATGGTGGGAACTAGCGGTAAACTAGTGTGAGCTGCGTCGGTGTTTCTAAAGAAACAGTTATGCAAAAAGATAAATTTAACACCGTAAAAAAGTATGTGGAAAAACTTACTGACGTTTCGGATGTTAATCCTTCGACGAAGGATTAACATCCGAAACGTCAGTAAGTTTTTCTAAATAATCCAGCATTTTTCAGCAGCTTTAGCCCAGGAGTACACCCTGCTGTCAGGGTCTAGTATGAAAATACTTTTTAGTGTCTGAGTTTTACTTCACACTTGGTGTACGTTTGACCTTMACTGTCAATATTTCCATGGCAATCAGTATCATGCGATATTTTCGTCGTGGTTGAGGAAAGATATCCTTTGTTTCGTGATCTGTCTAGTTTGTCGAACCAACATGGCGGGACTTAACACTTTTACTGACGACTTGGAAGCACAGTTAACTTGTGCTATTTGTAACGATATCTTTACGGATCCAAGGACACTACCGTGTCTACATACGTTCTGCTTTAAATGCATCAAAAGTTGGAACGAAGCCTGTAACAAAGAAATGAAGAGGCTAAGATGTCCAACTTGTAGAGCAGTAGTCAAGATCGAAGAAGACGACATCTCGAAGCTTCCTTCTTCGTTTAC